ATCCCAAACTGCAATTGGAGTTGGCAGCTCCCTTGGCATGCTCTTTGAGAAACAAGTTGCGCTCCATCCATGGTGTGTCACCGTCGCAGATCGTCTTTGGAAGAGATCATCGTGACACAGGCCTTGCAGATGAGCCATTGACCAACCGAGCTGATGGAACTCCAGATCACCAACAGCTGCAGAAGCTGCGATTGTCAGCAGCGACGAGTTTCTACGAAGCGAATCACAGCCAAACACTTCGCAAAGCTTTGTTGAGCAAGAGTCGTGGTGAGGACCAGATCTTCTACCCAGGAGACTGGGTTTACTATTGGAGGTCAGGTGATGGAAAACTTGAACCAAGTCGTTGGCGTGGCCCTGCACTTGTTTGTTCAATGACCCCACGAGATGGATCTGGTGATGTTCCTCGCCCTTCCGTTTACTGGATTGCTCATGGCTCAGCTTTGATTCGGGTTGCTCCTGAGCATTTGCGCCCTGAAGCGCCTCGTGAGACTCAGGCTCGCTTGCTGCATCTCCCATCTACAGCCCGTGTAGCAGATGTTCAGTCCACTGTTCGTCGTGTCCTACAGCCTGTTCGTGGTCCCATTCGTTTTCTTGACCTCTCCGGGGACCCACCTTTTGCGATTGCAACGGACACGCCACCTGGCGAACAGCCTGCAGATGGAGAAGATGCTGCCAAAGATGATGTCGAGAAAGTCACTGCTGAAGCGATCAAAGATGAAGAACCCATGGACTCGGGTACAGCCACAGCGGATACACAGCAGCCGCAGCCACATGAACCACAGCAAAAGCAGGTTGTTGAGCGACAGTCCGCCGCTGCAGAAGCCTCAGCACAAACCCCCCCGAGTCCTAGGGATGAAGGTGAGAAGAAGAGAGAGCATCCTGAAGAGGGTGTCGAAGAGAGACCAAGTAAGATGGAAAAGCCAAGTGAGGAGAAGCCAGAGATTGAACCTGAACCGAGTCGCGGCCGTTCGAGGAGTCCCATGTCTCGAGACGACCGATCTCTTGCTTTCCAGTCCTACAACATGTCTCGCCAACTTGATGGACTGCCACCAGTCAGGCAAGAGGATCCAGCTTTCGAACGGTTCATGGACACAATCGAACCTCTTGATGAAGAAGAGCTTCTCATGGCAGAGACCTTCCAGGAAAGCAAGTTGAATCCAGAGCAGCGAGAAGCTTTCAGCAAGGCGAAGGACGCCGCATTGATGGTGTGGATTGAGAACGCTGCTTGGAAAGCCGTGCCAGAGTCAGAAGCCGGCGAAGGGGAGGTCGTGCCTGCCCGTTTTCTGCAGAGATGGAAGCCGACCAGCGAAGGTCCGAAGCCCAATGCTCGTGTCATCTTGCAGGGCTTCAAACACAAAGACGTCTTGACTGAAAACCTACAGCGAGAGTCACCTACGCTGAGTCGACATGGCAGGATCACCCTGATGGTGTGGGCAGTTCATCGAAAGTGGAAGTTGTGGTGTGCAGATGTCAAAAGCGCTTTCATGCAATCCGACTCCATTGACGACACAACAAGGATCTATGTGCGACCGCCTGGAGAGATGAGGAGAAGACTTGAGCGTTTGATGGGCCTTCGTTCGCACGAGATCCTGAAGGCGACGAAACCAGCCTTTGGAGACGTTCGCGCTCCCCGTCAGTGGAACGAGACTGCAGATCGATACCTGACGCAAGAGTTGGGCTTGGTGCACCATCCACTTGATCGATGCTTGTACTTGTCCATTCGTGCCGCCTCTGCAGATGACCCCGAGTTCCTACAGTTTGAGAAGGACAAAGGTTGGTGGATTGTCGATGGAGCTTTGGGCCTTCATGTTGACGATTTCTTGGGAGCTGGAGAGCAGGTGTTTTCTTTGCAGGACGTGCAGCATGATCCAGCAGGAGCCTTTGATTGTTTCCAACACAGATTGCATCAGTTGTCCAAGCGTTTTCGTTTTGGATCGTGGGATTTTGGTGACAAGATGCGATTTTGCGGCTCAGAAGTCCAGCAATCAGAAGACCTGGAAGTGATTTCAGTCTCATTGCAGGAGTATGTCAACAAGATCAAGCCATTGACATTGGAGAAGGCTCGAAAGACCATGGTTGAAGACATGTGCACGGAGAAGGAGCATAGACAGTTGAGAGCATTGGTTGGTGCAATGTCTTGGCCCGTGACGCAATGTGTTCCTCAAGCTGCAGCAACCATCAGCCTCTTGCAAGCTCACATAAACAAGCCAGCAGTCAAAGACATGCTCGAAGCAAACAAATGCCTCAGGTTCTTGAAGGAAGCCGTTAAGACCTATGTGTTCAAGATCCGTCGGCATGGCGAGCTGCAAGATCTTCGACTTGGAGTTTACTGTGATGCTGCTTGGTCGGTACGACCAGATGGAAGCTCGCAAGGAGGTATGATGATGTTCATTGCCGATAGAGCTGAGCTGGAGAGTCACAAGCCTTTTCCCCTCACCGTGATCGATTGGGCAAGCAAGAAATTGGTGAGGATGTGCAGAAGTTCGCTATCAGCTGAAGCGCAGTCGGCAACGATTGCAGTGGACGAATTGGAATGGGCCAAGGTTTTCTATGCTGCAATGGTGAATCCATTTGTGGCCATCCATGAGGACAAAACCATGCACTGGTTTCAGGAGTCACCCATCATCACCGATGCGAAGGCCTTGTTCGACAGCACGCTGTCAGTGACTCCTGGCATGAAGCTCTCAGAAAGAAGAACAGCCATCGAGATTTGCATCCTGAAGGAGCGATTGCATGCCGTCATGGGCAACTTTCGCTGGGTGAATTCCACTCAGCAGTTGGCAGATGGATTCACGAAGACAAGTGCACGTGAATCACTGGCATACACGTTGTCTAGAGGAGTTCATGCCCTTCGTTTTGACCCCCAACTTCGTTGCAGCCAAGAAAGTCACTCAGAGTGAGAGAGACAAGGAGAATGCCGAGTACGAGAAGGCTGCAGAGTCATTGTTTGAAGGTCAGGCACTCCTGGCGGAAGATCACGACAAGAAGGAAAGGATGAACCTATGCCGTCTTCCAGGATGTCAAAAGGAGAAGGACAAGAAAGATGATGCATACCACTACTGCAGCCGTCGTCATTTCTACCTTCATTTGCACCGCAAGGGACAAGGTGGAGACGAGTGGCGAAAAGCAGCAAATTGTGCTCTAGCAGTGTTGGCAGCAAGCAGCATTGAAGGTGTCGAAGCAAACAGCACGAACGACGACGACCGTGTGTTTGACCCAGTTTTTGTGAATACCATGCTGGTCATTTTGTGCTTTGCTTTGGTGGGAGCCTTGGGTTCAGCTTGGTTGCTGAAGAACTTTGTGAAGCAGTATGCCAACAAGCTAAAGGACACCTTTGTGGCTGTGTATCAGTTCTTTTGTGCCTTAGCTTTTCGATCGTCCGTCGGTTTGAGCCATGGAACTGCAGCTGATTTCCCCGAAGCTGCAAATGACGATGCTGAAGTCGATGCCTCTAACATGGAGACCGAGGACAATGAGACGGAGAGCGATGATGAAGTGTTGAGATGGAATGAAGTGCTCAATCGTTGGAAGCGACGATATGATGAAGTTCGAGATGAAGATGATCAAGCCAAATGGCGAGAGCTCCAGGCCAACTTGTGGACGAACCAGGTGTCTCCGCAGATGCGAGGACATGTGATCCGACACTGTCGTCCTGATGTTCGACGTGAGGAGTACTTGAAGCTCACGTTGGCCTCGACTTGTGAGAATGTCACTGATGAACAGATCCGGCAGTGGCACCGCTTTCTCAATGCGCATTTCTGTTTGATCATGGAGATCCATGCGGAAGTGCGGTTCAAGGACCAGAGGATGAATCAGCTCCAGTCCTTGTGCGATGCCCTACAAGCTGAGAAAGAAGAAGTTGATCCACATGAGCGAGAGCGAATGAAGTTTGATCGTGGTGAACGTGCTGACAAGATGCAGCAGACCGCTGCACACTACAACCCTGAGACGGATTCGATGCATCTGGCTCAACCGAATGGAGCATGGACGTTTGTGAGCACGTACGAAAGCCGTGTGTGACAAAGGTGACCAGTGAAGTTGATTTTTGAATGTTTTCCAATGTGGCAAGCTTAAACAAAGAAGCTTCGCCCGTCTTGATGCCAGTTTTCACAGCATGTACTTGAAGGTACGTTTGCTCATTTGATGTTTTCGCTTGCGGCCATTTAGGGCCCTTGAGTCACCGTGGTCACGACCCGATCGATCGACTTGTGGAGAAATAGGCAGGTTCGACTTCGAGTGCGAGTTCCTGTTCAATCAGACCGAGGATATTCTGATTCTTGAGGTCTCCGAGGACCCCTCAAATCCCTGGAAACCCAATCTTTCTCACCTCGGCAATGATGCTGTTGCTCCGCAGCTCTCCCTGAAGCTCTGCCAACTGCGCCCTGCCGATGCAACAAGATATGTTTGAGGATGTTACATACAAATTGTTACTAATATTCTTGGACTCGCCTTGTTGTAAAGCGTCTGGATGTTATTCTTCCAGATCTAAATGGTGTCTTCTTTCTTTTCAACTTGGCTTTGAAGTCGGACTAAATCTCATTGAGCCTCGTCTGCATTTGGAGATCAGGCCATGGCACCTTCCTACCTCTCGTCTGCAAAGGAATATTGGTGAGCTCGGAGATGTTCTGTTTTGCTCCAAAGCTTGCTTGCAAGGTGTCAATTCCTCTGCACTCTAATTACTTCTAAGGAGCTAGAATCTGATGACAACGGTGGGGCTATGAAGAACCACAATAAGTTGTGAGGGTGCATTGAGATGGACCTGTTTCGAAGTTGAGGAACAAACAAAACAAGCGTTTTGTGTTACTCTAGATTTAAAAAAAAAAAAAACGGTTCGGGTTTCCCAGACTCCCTGATTGGAATCAACAGTAAGGACACAGGAAATTCGACATTCCAATCAATGCATTTTGACATGCCTACAAGTACTTCACAAGAGTGTTGCTGAAATGCGTTTACCTTTTGGGTTGTTGTATACCTGTTGTATACATGTTGTAACGGAGCCTCTCAATCGTATCTTTGGAGTTGAAGACAAGCTAGGAAGCAGAACTGACAGTGATGTCAAAACAAAAAAGGAACTCCACCATCTTGATGTAAATCGAAGGAGAAATAGCTACAGCGAAGAGGTGCTCAAACAGGTTCTCCGAGGGACGATTCACAGGAGTTTAACGATTGCTCTGAGCTATGGTTGATGTGCCCATTGTGTGTGTGTGTGCGGGTTTTGCCGTTTCGCTTCATGTTTCCTCTTGTCTCTTTTTATTTGATGGAAATCAACTGTCAATTCAGCGGGCTTCACGAAACTTGGATTTGAGTTCTGTGACACAAGCCTGTGATCTAACATCTGATGTATTTTTCAGTACGAGGAAAGGACTGGTGGTCAAAGCATGTTGCTTGGGTTGCCTGGACCATGCAGGGACTTGATCAACGTCCTTTGCTTCCTGAACTTGTCCGATCCTACGCATCACAAGTGCAGTAAACTGTCCACGAGTACGTCAAGCCAAAATTATCAGCAAACCAGGACAAAGGAACGAGACATGTCTTTGAGCAAGTTAAAAAGGATGTCAGGACCAGGTTGGCTCGGGCTGTCTTCTTGAGACCTCAAAGTCCACTCAAACATACTGAAACCATCTGTCTTAGGTTCAATGATTGCTTGCTCCTACTTTGTTGGCACTGCGCTTGGTCGAGGCCGCTGGTCATAGGGCCACTCCGGTGGAGACAAAGGACCTCGACTGGAAGCAAGCACGTGCGCCGTCATACAAGTTACTGTACTGTAGCTGTTGCTTTCAAACCATGGGTGTTGAGTCTACATACTGCCGAAGCCATCTTTATGTCCCTTGAATGACAGAAACTCATGATTGCAGGAAGTGCCAGCTGAGCAGCAATTGTCATAGTCAAAGTCTTCGTCCAGTTGGAACTTCTCTACTTTGTCCTTGCAACTCACTGTACACCAGAAAAGCATACTGTAAGTGTCAATAACAGGCCCCGTTGTCTGCGGTGTCGTTGCCACCAGGAAGCGACAGCATCTGCCATTGCAGCTGCACGCTCCTCGTGAGGAGCCGTCAAATTAGATGTGGAAGTCTGCGGGGTTGAACTTGGATGGTTTTGCCTTCCAAAGTGCTTCCAAGCATCTGCATCTTCCTTGGCAATGGCAAGAACCTCCGGGTCCTCTCCATCAGGGTCCTCCAAAACCGCTGCAATGGACAGAGCTAACAAAAGCCGATACAAACCAATTCCCGCACGATAAAGGACTTCGCAATCTCCTGCTCGACATGGCCCGGCTTCTTGGTGGTTTCACCCTCCGCAGTTTTCGTATCTGCCCCCTTTGCCTCCAAGCTGATCGAAAAGTGAAGTCGACAACTGACTTAACGACATGTTCGAAGCAAAAGTGCCTCCGTTGCCCCTCTTCAAAGCAAATCTCTAAAGTGGGAAACATCATTACGTAATTTGGGATCCTGAAGGCATGCTCAGCCATCACCCGAAGTCTCCTGCTTCTTCACTTCCTTCTGAGCCTGGAAACCAGTCACATGAAAAATGGAACAGCTCATCGAGACATTGTGTAAATTAATTGACACAAGTAACTTTGTTCCTGCAAGGCACTAGAACCCCGCTTCCAGGCCTCTTGAGAATGTGAAGAAGTCGATGCCATAAGACGCGTCACTTTGACATTCGATCAACAACTGATGGATCACGTGTTCGACATGTTGAATGAAGTGGAAGAACTCCATTGAGCTGCTGCAAGAGATTGAGGTTGGTCGGCTCCTTTTAGTAAGTTGATTGCGCTTCAGAGCAGCATGTGGCTTCCTCTAAAATGCACAGGAATCTGAGCTGAAATCATACTGAAAAAAGAGAGAGGCACCTCAAAGCTCACGCATCTTAGCCTAATCTCCACTAGGCAAATGTCTTGGACAAACAACACACCTGAATACAGAAAACAATGACAACCACTTGTACTTATCTCACAAAAAGGAATCTGGATGCTGGGCGCATGGAGAACAAAGCATGCAGTAAGACGAATGGATGAGCGTGCCTTGTTTTGCCGCTTGGCACCTGCACCAATTGCTCTGAAGCCAATGGGCACAAACAAAAAAGAAAGAAACACACACACAGAGCTGTTATTGTCCACCAAAGCTATATAAGTGTGGATTCACCAGAGGTTCTGCCTTTGATCTGGTCCTCCAAGAATCTTCTGTCCTGGCTTCCAAAACAATCCATATGGAAGGATATTCCCAAGATGGTGGTTGAAGGATTTGAATGACACTTCCTGATACAACTATCTGTGCAGCATTTGATGACAAACTTCAGCCATCACTTTTCTGGCCGGTCAGCTTAAGCAACGCCTCGTCTAATGCTTCAGCTTTGGCCTTCCATTTATCAACCTCGGTAAGCTGGCCAAAGCATGACCATTCGCACCTTCCTTCGTGTGTAGGGTCCAAATTCCATGCAATGTATCTCGGCCTCCTTCTTGTAGCCTTTGCAAAGTTCATCCAGTCGGAGCGCCTGGAAGTGGCAAGTCTAATGATCCAAGCACGATTGCAAAACACTTGTTACTAGTAGCGAGGCACTTGTTACTAGAAGCGAGGCACTTGTTTCTAGTAGCTTCTTGTTGCTACAAGCAAGGCACTTGTTACTAGAAGCGAGGCACTTGTTACTAATAGCTTCTTGTTACTACAAGTAAGGCACTTGTTACTAGAAGCGAGGCACTTGTTACTA